TCTGAGGTTGTTCGAATAACTTATTGTTCGGATAACTGATTATGTACGAAAAAATATATTAACCTATCCCGTGTTGAAATTTTTCTCCGTTGTGTGTCGCTTCGTGTTGAATTTTCGTCGATGTTAAGCATAACGTATACTTTTTAAAATAATAATCGTGGCTATTGTATCATTAAAAATTATTTCTTTATTTCTTACAAACAAAATAAATATATTGAAAAATATAAAAACCAAAAAATATATACTTTAGAGGATGATCTAGTATCAAAAATGTTCGATTCAGCACGACACACAATCCTTGGAAAAACACCACACAAAAGTGCCAGTGCTGCCAGCTAAAAAACACACACCAACAAAAAGAAATATTAGAGTAGCCCAAGATATAGCCAAAGATTGCAGCGCCACAGCACTAGCGAAAATTTAAATTTGCTGACTGGAATGCTTTCAGATAACCGACTTTTTGATAAATGATGCTCTACTGTAATTTGCATTTCAACCGCATTTAACCTTATTTAATCTGTATTGTTCGCATGTATGTTTAGCCTTAGATATCCAATAAATGCTTTGTTTATTGTTAAAACCTGCCAAATTGTCTATTATTCCAAATCTTGACACCTATCAGCTTACCCATCGCACCTCCCCACTCAACTAAAGTCTCTCCTAAAGCCATCCAGTGACAAAGTGAGCAAGTTTTACCAACTCGATGATTAGAGGGCTCTGTACTCGCCTGTATTCTCACAATTGTAAAAAGTTTTATTTTGAATATTTTTCTCTACAAATTCAACTAAATAGTTAAAACTGTCAAATAAATAAATATTTAAAATATATTGAAAAATTATTTTTTATTGAAATCTTTGTATAAATATGAATTTGCAAAATGTTTATATTTTATGAATAATCATATTTTAATGCGTACTTGTAGTCCATTAAATGGACTACAGGTACGCATTTGTAGTCCTTTAATTCACTATCTATAAAAAGAAAACAACTATAAGTGATTAAAACAACTCAAATATTCTATCATTTGCCAAAATATTTGTTAGGGAAAAGAT